ACTTGGCGTTGTCCACTAACCCCCAGGCAGAGTGGAGGCTCCTTCTTAAAAACAACGAGCTGTCCTTTGGGCTAAGTAGGCAAGCGTGCAAGCGCATAGCCAGCAGCCTCTACCCCTCCTCTCGAACCCCTTGGAGGCCCAGGAGACCTCTGGAGGCCTGACCTTTGTCTGCAAAAAAGTCTTTTACACATCGTGTGCCATACTGGATCAGTAGCTATTCTGATCCAGTTAATTTTCTGCTCCAAGCCGAGCTTGTCACTGAGAGGTGCTTAGCTCACTGCTGAAAGGGGAGGGGAGCGGTATGTAAATAATGAGAACGCAGGAGCTTGTGCTGTTAAGAGCTCTGCTCCGGTAAAGCAAGAGTTTATTGTGTCACTGCCTCTGGGTATGTTTTCCTGTAAAGGCCAGAAATAAAACACTAGCACATGCCTGTTCTTCCCGCCCCCCTCCCCTGGAGAACGGTAACGCTCTCATTAATACTAATGACAAATTTAAAGATTCTTTAATTGATAGTTGCTATGCTGTGTGATTTGGTCGGTGTGAAGAAACTTAACTGTTCTTTTGTGGGCCTTAGCACTGAGCGGAATTCCAGGCCTGACTTGATTTCCCCTTGGCTGTAGGATGATGGGACAACAGCCACAGCTTCTCCAAGACCTCTCTTTTCCTCCTCTGTCCCATGATCTCTGGTCCCATTCACCTTTAAATTCTGTTCCTTCTCCGCATAGGATTTCTCCATTCTGTACTTTCTTAGGTGCAAAGCATGTATCATTTTTTTAGATGATACCTTATTATGTGTCTATTATTAGCGAACATGCCGAAATGTATCCCAGAGTAGGTTGCAGAACCTTCACGGGTTAAAGAGTTGGGTGGTTTCAAAGGGCTACAAATCCTAAGTCCCCAAGAAGAACCCAGGCTTCCTGCACGCACACATTGTCTGGCTGGCACAATGCTTTGTAAAGTGTTGAATCCGATGCCTTGGAGGGGATAAAGCCCTATCCAGCACAAACCCGTGAATGCACCTGGTGTTTCACCCATTTTTACCATGTGTCTGGCTCCTGAAGACATCTGGACTTGCCAACTCTGGTGTACACCAGGTACAGGTTCAAGTCTTCAGGGTGAGATCATGGGTTGGCCATCTTTCTCCGCAGGACCCCTTAACAAAGCTTTTAGGCTTTGTCGGCCGTACAGTGTCTGCAGCCACTGTTTGACCCCGCTGTCGGAGTGAGAAAGCCGCCATAGATAACAATACCCAAACAGACGAATGTGGCTGTGGTCCAATTAACTTGGGATATGGGCATGGCAATTTGAATTTCATCAAACTTTCTCCTATCCCAGAATATTATTGTTCTTTTGATTTCCCCACCCTCCCCCAGCCGATTTGGTAAAAAACCAAAGTAAAAATGGTGTTTTACCATTTTAACTCACAGACTTTACAAAAATAGATGGCAGGTCAGATTTGGCCTGTGGGCTATAGCTTGCTAAACCCCTGATTTAGATCACTGACCCAAAGCTCCTAATGTTTTCCCAAAGGATCCGAGAAAAATAAAAAATGATCCTGGAGATTCTACACTAGGAATTCACATCCAAGTAGATCTTTTTTTAAATGCTTAGAAACTGTAAGGTGGAATTATACAAGTTATATGAGTCTAACAAAGGCTGCTGTCGGCTCGGATTTGCTCTGGGCTCAGTAGGTGGCCCTCTCTTCTCTGAAACGGATAAAGAGGCTACGTCAAAGGCAGCATCTGGGTTAGAAGCAAGAGAATAATCACAGGGTGACAGCCATGAGGGGCAGTGAAGACAGTGTAGCCATAAGCTAGACTGAAGGTGAATTCAGTGGGGAGGGACCCTGATGACACTTGAAACATACATACATCACAAGCATAAATACTTAATAGTTCCGTGCATACAGCTGATTCAAGCTTCATGACCATTTTCCATTGACTCTCTCTTCCATCAACCCATCTTCCTAAAACAGAGGGAGTACCTTCTTTCTCTTTCCAGTGCAGAGGATAGCAGAGTGGTCTTCTGATCCATTTTTTCCACAGTGGACACAGATCTGTTCCAATAAATTAACCTCCTCTCATGACTCACTTGAAAGAAACATGTGCTAGTGAGTAAGCTAAACCACATTACCACTCCTCTAAGAAAAATCACTCTGACGAGTTTTTGTCCTAACAAGCTCCGAGAAAACACCAAGCCTTTCCTTTCTGTCGCTTTTCTCACCACCAAATCACAAAGCAGGGGAGAGATGGTTCCAGTACGGAGGGAGCGGGGACGGTTGTTTGTTTGGCATGCTTTGGTTTGGTTTGGTTTTATAATTCATCGCTGTATGAATTCTAACTCTTCATTATATTTTTTAACATGTTTAAGAGAACATTTCTCCCATAAACCTTTCACGGGGATTCAGAGGACCCTAGCTGTGTAACTCTGAAAGAGGCTGGAGTTGTCTTCCCCAGCGATCTGGGAACTTCTGAGTAGGGCTGGTCATGTGAGTGACCCCAGCTATATGTACACACACACACACACACACGCTCACACACACTCACACACACTCACACACACTTAGGATGTAACTAAATGCTTGGCAGTATAAGCAGCACAATAATCAGACCTGATGTTGTCCTCATCCCAGGGGGTTCAACCTTGTTGGGTTATGACAACCTGCATTCCACCTTTTTGTTCCAAGCTCTGAACCGGGTAGAATGCTGTTGGATCTGGCAGAAATTGCAAAAGTGTGGTTTCCAGTTCTGTGTTGTTGAGTTTTTCAGAGGGTTCAGTTTGAAGTACGGTTTCTTTTCGTTTTGTTTTGGGGGGTGTTGGCCCTCCTGGAGTCTTTGAGCATATTCACGCCTCCCGAACCCCAGCACCCGTCCACCTCGGGTAGGACTTGGCATTCATCGGTGTCCCGTTGCCTTGTGCTACTGTGGCTCTCCAGCCCCCGGCGAAGCAAGGGTTTACACCCAGACCCACGTGTAACGAAGCTACTGGTACAGATTTGTTTTGCACATATCAGTTTCCCGTAAGAACAAGGAGATTGACCAGGGCGTGATGACCATTGCTCTGCTGAGAGAACAGCAAATAAAATCTTAGCCATGTGTGGACTGTCATCGAGATGACACAGGCTTGGTTTTGTTGTTATTATCGGTATTTCTACATCTCTGGCCCAGGGTAGGAGAAGCCGAGCGGGGAAGGATGAATAATATTTGCATGACTCAGAGGTACCGCACCGGACAGCCCTCAGCCTTTTGAGTCTCTGGGTTCCAGGAAGGTGGGGACAGAAGTGAGAAAACATGCACTCCTCACACCTACCAAAGGAGTGTCTGGAGAGTTCTGCGGAAGGCAGGAGCCTGTGTGCCCGGGGTCTGTGAAGCTGCTGCTTTGGGCTGTGCTTGAATGAGGTGAGAAGTAGGCAGGCAGGCACGCACAGAGAGGGCCGCCCAAGGCCCTCTCATCTTAAACGGCCCATTCTGCCTTTCAGCTTGTGTGTGGGTCTGGACAACATGGCCACGGGCCCTCTCCTGCCACAGCAGGGGCCAGGAGGGCCCCCAGGGCTAACCTGATCACATCGGGAGGGGGAAGCTTAGCTGCATTTTAATTAAGTGGGACATGGAGACAATATGGTGAATCTGAGGAAAGCCACCACGAAGGAGGGGCTGCTGGAAACACCAGCAAGTGCTGAGCCTGTTTCCTCATCTGTGAAATGGGCCACCTCCAAGGGGCGTCCTATGAGAAATCAGTGTGATAATGCATGTGAAGCCCTTAGCTCCTACTGTTTTAGAATAATGTTAATTCTTTGATGAGGAATATGAAAGAAGCTGGGGCCGCTTAGTCTGAACAGAGACTAGAGAAAGAAGAGCTGTCTTCAGATAGCTAAAGGATTATTACACAGCAGAGGGAACGAATGTATTTTTCTATAGGACAATATGACTTGGGGCGCCTGGCTGGCTAAATCAGAAGAGGATGTGACTTTTTTTTTTTTTAAGATTTTATTTATTTATTTGACAGAGATCACAAGTAGGCAGAGAGGCAGGCGGGGGGGGGGGGGCCGGGGAGACAGGCTCCCCGCTGAGCAGAGAGCCCCATGCGGGGTTTGCTCCCAGGACCCTGGGATCATGACCTGAGCTCAAGGCAGAGGCTTTAAACCCACTGAGCCACCCAGGCACCCCTGAAGAGTATGTGACTCTCGATGTCAGGGTTGTGAGTTTGAGCCCCCACTGGGGCATAGAGATTAATAATAATAATAAAACAATATGACTTAAAATAATGGCCTTCACAGGGAAGCACATTCCAGGTCTCTAAAAGTATTTGTTACCAAGATGCTCAGGAACAAGCAGGCTTTCTTGTCGGGTGCCAGCCTCCCTGTCCCCAGACTGGCCCTGACAGAGGATCGGTGACCACAGCACTCAGGAGCTCTAGGGGAGGCGTGGGTTAGACTAGCGGCCTCAGCAAATCCAGGGAAGGGCTAAGGTTCCTGACTCCCTGGGAGAACCTGTGCGACCAGCCGCCACGTAGAATAACCAGCCCCCTCCCCCAAATAATAGTAGTAATAATAATGATGATGATGGTGGTAGCAGCCAAGGCGCTCAGGGGTCCCCTGGGTATAACACAGCAGGTTCCTTTGCGTGGAGAACATGATTCAGGGTAATGTCCTCAGGGTATTTATTGGTCTGTTAGGTGTCCCTGAGGGGGTGGCTTAGGCGACAGAAATGTGTCTCTCGGTGTGGGAGGGTCCGCAGCGCTGCTTCCTTCCGAGGCCTCCGTCGGGGTCCTCTGCGAAGACTCTGTCCCCACATGCAGTCCCGTGCCTGGTCCCGGGGGTCAGGATGCCGGCCCAGCGATGGGGACCCGGGGTGGGGGCGGTGCTGGGGGCGGAGGCGCACGCCAGGGGCCCGCGGGCCTCGCCTGCGGGGCCGTGTCGCGCGGGTCCCGGGGCTGCTTGCCGCCTTCCGCGACGTTGCTGTCTCACCCGCGTCCTGTCTCGACCCCCCTCCCCCCCGCAGGTGAGCGGCCCTTCCCCTGCACGTGGCCAGACTGCCTTAAAAAGTTCTCGCGCTCGGACGAGCTGACGCGCCACTACCGGACGCACACGGGCGAGAAGCAGTTCCGCTGCCCGCTGTGCGAGAAGCGCTTCATGAGGAGCGACCACCTCACCAAGCACGCGCGGCGCCACACCGAGTTCCACCCCAGTATGATCAAGCGCTCGAAAAAGGCGCTGGCCCACCCCTTGTGAGCGGGGGCGCGCGCCCGCCGGACCCTACCGCGCCGGCGCCCGGGGACACGGCTGGCCGCCAGGGGGCGCGCTGCGGGGGGCGCGGGGCCCTGCCCGCCGCCGCCCCCGCGCGCCCCTCCCCGCAGCGGTTTCGGAAAAGCACAGCGCAGCCCGCGATCCAAGCCCACCCTGGGGCCCCTTGCAGAGGCAGCTCGGAACCGTCTCTGACTGCTGGAGGGAAGGCGGATGCTTTGGTTTTGGGTTTTTTTTTCCTCTCTCTCCTTTATTTTTTTTGGGGGGGGGGGGTGGGGGGGGGGGGAGGGGGCCAAGGCCAAGACGGGGCGGGGGGAGGGGGTAAACTTTTAAAAAGATTCAACACTGGTGTACATACGTCTGACCCGGTGAGCGGACCTGTGGCGTCACACAGTGATTCTGGGCCCTTTGTGCTTGCTGTCTCAGAATTGTTTTCTTACCTTTTCGATGTAATGACGAGTGTGCTTCGGTTTCTTTAGCAAAACCACTCTCTTGAATCACGTTAACCTTTGAGATTAAAAAAAAAAAAACACACAAAAACCAAGAAAAAACACGCCATAGCACAGCTGTCTTTATGCAAGCAAGAGCACATCTACTCCAGCATGATCTGTCATCTAAAGACTTGAAAACAACAACAAAAAAAATTACTTATAGTCAATGGGTAAGCAGTCTGAATTTATACTAATCAAGACAAACCTCTAAAAGGTTACACTAAGTACAGAACTTTTAAACCTTGCTTTGTATGAATTGTACTTTTTGAACATAAGCTGCACTTTTATTTTCTAATGCAGAGGAGGAATAAGTGAAATATGTGCTTTAAGGATAGAAGCAGACATTCTGTTTGGAACCACGTTATAATCTGCTTTTTTTAAAAATATATATATATACAGTATACACATTTCCCTATGAGATCATGGCAGAGATGGGAGGGCAGAATATATAGGACAGATGCTGAAGGAGAAGGAGGGTAGTATTTTTTTAAAAAATTCAAAAAGAACAAACAATTTTAACTCTATTAACTTTTCCAAATTTTCCAATCCTTTTAGTTAACATCACTTTACTGTTCCAGTGCCACGAAGGGAGAGGGTTTTGACTCTGTTGGGTTTTATCTGAATGGGTGCATAACAGTAACTTCTCTGGAAACACCGATTTTGTGAAGAAAAAGAGGTGCGTTGGTCTCCTTTCCGTGTTGCTACAAACTCCCACTAACAGGTGCAAGAGTTATGTTAAAAAGGAAGAGGAAGCTGACATGTGAAAAGAAAAATATATCCCCGAAAGTAGTGAGTCCCAAGGGAAAATACCATGATGATTAGGTATCATCGTGAAGTCATCAAGATGACTTCAAAATGGTCCCTTTTGGAGAACAAAGGCACACGAAATGCGTGTGACTGAAGACACATCACTGTATCTTTGACATCAGAAGCCTCACCACTATGTATCTTGTATCCAGGTGTCTACAATGGCCTAAACCACTACATCCATAAAATGCCATTTACCTGAAAACTTAATTTTGGCCTTCACGTGGTCAGAAAAAAATGAACTGTTTTCATAGCAAAGAAACCTCAAGTACAGGGAGTCAGCAGTGACTGTGGGAGAAATGTTTACATTTTCTTTTGTCAGAAAGAATGCTTTCTGGCAATTTTATCTGCTATTTAACACAGGGAGCTACGGTGCACTCTCGTTTATACATGTGCTATAAGCTGTGTCGTGTAAACTTAGGGTGCCTCCCCGTCAGTGAACTCATGATTTCACCCAACACATGCTCGTTGCCAGGTTCAGAACCGGTGTGGGCTCCTACAGCAGGCGTGGGGCACGGCTGACTCCGACTTCCAATACAATAGCCATCACTAGCACGGTGTTTTTCTTTTTTGTTTGTTTAACCAATGTAGTTGTATCAGTAGTTCTATAAAGAGAACTGCTTTTAACATTAGGGACTGGGAACAGTCCATTGAGATAAAAAGGAAAGTGTTTTCTCACGGGAAAACATGTCAGGAAAAATAAAGAACACTTTCTACCTCTGTTTCAGATTTTTGAAACGCTTATTTTAAACCAAATTTTAATTTCTGTGTCCAAAATAAGTTTTAAGGACATCTGTTCTTCCATACGAAATAGGTTAGGCTGTCTATTTCTTACTGAGCTCACGGAACGGTCCTGCTTGTGATCCTTTGCACGCTGCCTTTTAGTGAGTGAGGAGTTTGGGGCTGCCTAGCAACCCACCAACTTGGACAAACTCATCTTCCCCTCACAGAAAGAAATGAAGGAAAACCAAGCAAAGTCAGTGAAAGACAATCTTTGTAGTTTCAAGAGTAAATCTATATGTGGCTTTTGTCCCGCACTTACTTAGATGGATATAAATGCAGCAACTTGTTTAAAAAATAAAAAAATGCACAATTTAACTTCCCAAAAAAAGTTGTTACTTGCCTTTTCAAGTTGTTGAAGAACACACATTTGATATTCTCTTATATGTTATAGTAACGTAACGTATAAACTCAAGGCTTTTTATTCTTCGTGATAAATCCTGTTTTCAAATGTCACAAAACAGGAACCAGCATTCTAATTAGATTTACTCTATCAAGATATGGTTCAAATAGGACTACTAGAGTTCATTGAACACTAAAACTATGAAGCAATTACTTTTTATATTAAAAAGACCATGGATTTAACTTGTAAAAATCCAAATGCAGGATAGTAATTTTTGTTTACTTTTTTAACCAAACTGAATTTTTTTGAAAGACTCTTGCAGGTGTTTAAAAAGAAAGACAAGTCGTTTTATCTAATACTGTAAGTAGTTGTCATATTCTGGAAAATTTAATAGTTTTAGAGTTAAGGTAACTCCTCTCCTTGGTTAGGGAAGAAGAAAGCCCTTCACCGCTTTGGAATGACGCCCTGGCTTTAAGGTCTGGCTCTACATCATGCTTCTTTTGAGAATTATGTTTGGTAGTCATGTTACAGAAATTGATTACTCGTCACTTTGCAGGTAGACTTAGCACAGCGCTCATCACTCTGGATAGACCGAGATGTTCTTTCACCGCAGATGAATGATCTGTAACACTGTAAGATACTGATCTTTACAACTGTTTAATCAGTTTTATTTTTGTACAGTATTAGTGACCTAAGTTATTTTGTTGTTCCGTTTTTGTAAATCAAATGAAATTATAAAAGAGGATTCTGACAGTAGGTATTTTGTACATATGTATATACGTTGTCCAAATAAAAGGAATAAATGACAAAGATGGAATTGTCCCTGCCGCTGTGTGTTGTAAGAGGGGCGTGCCTTGCCGTGACCGGGGCTGCCGCTTCCGCGTGGGCCCGCAGGATTTGTTACGGTAAGTCCAAAGATGATTTTACTCTGTCGTTCAGCGTGTGTGATATTTGTAGAGACCTGTGTGTATTTACTGTTCACAGACCTCTGAGGAAGTAGAAGGAATGTAGGCTGCTTGAAACCGCTGTATGATACGGGAGGAAAATGTTTATATTTTCAGCTAAATCATTTAAAGAGGTTTATAAAAGCTCATAACTGTGCTGGGGTGGGCTAGGCAGTGGGCGGAGGACGTTAGGGACTCAGACTCTGCTCTTGAGATACAATGTTGTTAAGAACACACTAGACGGGGTCTCAAAGACAGGACGGTAGAACCATTACACTAAATGAAGTGAACGAAATGTGTGTGTGTGTGTGTGTGTGTGTGTAATTTCTATAGATACACACTAGCTAGCTACAATTTATTAAGCCCTTACTATGTACTGTGTTTAGGTCTTTCTTCTCGTTTAATCCACGTAGTAGCTCTGTGCAGCCCCATCTAGTAGAGGCCTTTGTTATCCTCCTATTTCAGACGAAGAAACTGAGGGTCAGATAACTGGCTAAAAGACACGTCTAGTAAGTGGTGTAGACAGGTGTAGACAACTGGATCTGCTGAATCCAATTCTCTGTCATTCTATGCCTGCATCAGGTCAGTGGGATTTATTAAGAGTCATTTTCCTTTGACCCATTTTGCTGAGCCCCTATTAACGCCAGGCACTGTTGACACTGCGGACGCAAGGCTGAAGAAAAACCGACAAGCTTTCTGCAGTCAGGGGGGCTATACTGTCAGTGAATGGAAACACATAAATAAATTTTCCGTATCATTTCAGATCGTGAGAAGAACGTGATGAAAACAAGAGTCATATGACCTAAGTGTGGGGGGAAGGTGACATGAGCCTGAGCCCCCTTGAGAGTCCTTAAATATTTGGGCTGGGGTCTGGATGACATGAAGAAGTCAGGTCTGCGGAAGGTGGAGGAATGAGAGCCAGTGGGAGGAATCCGACAGGAACGCGATCGGGACTTTGGAGGAAACGGAGGAGGATGGGGAGGCTGGAAATAAGCAGAAGGAAAGGAAAGGGAACGTGGGGTGTCTGGCAAGGGCCAGGTCATGTTTTGGGGGGGACTTTGCGCTTCAGATCATTATACGGTATTTGATTTTGATTCTAAGGGCAAAGGGATTCGGGGGATGGTTTAAAGCAGAAGAATGCTATATTCAGATACGGATTCCAGCAAGCTCTTTGTGGTGCTGGGTGGGAGATGGATGTTAGGGAGGCAAGAATGGAGCTTGGGGGCTAGCAAGGAGGCTGTTACATTTGTCCAGACAGGAGGCGATGGTCATTCGGACCAGGTTGTTAGCGGTGGAGGTAGGAAGAGGCAAATAATTCCCAAAAAATATGTTGGAGGCAGAACCACTTAGTGATGATAGGAGTCAGGGGTAAAGGATAGAAGGGTCCAGTAATGAGCCTCAGGCTATGGCCTGAGCAGCAAGAAGGTCGCTGTTCATGTCATTCGATCAGATGGAGGAAAGGAGAGGGTCCACATGAGGGACAAACTGGGGACCCACGTTTGGACATGTCAAGGTTGGTGTGTCCATCAGACATCGCACAGAAATGTCAAGAGAATGATGGCGTATATTAGTTTGGGGCTCGAAAAAGTGATCTGGACCGGAGATTTGGAAGTCAGGCATATTTGAGAGTAACTAAAGTCACAAGTGGAGGAACTCGCCGGTGGTAGAATATAGACAGAAAGGGGAGGGTTCGCGCCTAGTGGGCAGGGGGCGGAGGGGGAGAGAGAAGGGGGAGGGGAGGACAGAAAGATGGCAATGAACAGCAGACAAAATCTAGAAAAGGGCAGGGTCTTAGACTAAGGGGCAGAGGGGGAGGCCAGAGTGATCAGATGTGTTGAATGTCACGAGGAGAGTGTAGTAAGACCAGTGCTCGTGAAAAGGGAAGCGTT